TTAAAATTTTCATTTTTAATGAAGTTTATTTTTATTTAATAGAAATTTCTACCCCAGAAGGACTTCTCATCTTCTTCCAAGCCTCATGATGCTCTAGGTTCCTTTCTTCATTCGTATCCATTTCTCAATTCATATAAGTTCCTTTTTTTATTTCTTGAATTTTTAAATGGATTTTAATGGATGAGTCAAGAGAATAACTCTATTTTGGTTTCTTTTGTTATCATCTATCTTCTTCTTCGTTTTTGTTTTGTTAGTGTTATGCCTCATTTCTTCTAGGTTTTGTAGAGGTAAGGGCAAAACAAAAGGCTAAAGGGAGAAGGAAAGGGAAGGTGAAAAAGAAGATGATCATATATATATATATATATATTTTATATTGATGTGGAAAAAAATTAAAAATGCCAAATCATTTAAAAGTCTTGTATTTTTTTCCACGTCATTAGTGAAAAAAATAGAAGATTGATTTTTTTACCAATTTAACATTTCACCTGTCACTTCCATCAACAGACGGACGAAATTGGTACTAAATGAAAGTTTAAGGATATTTTTAGTACTTGTTGAAGTTCAAGAACAATTTCAGTATCAAAATAAAAAGTTGAGGGACTAGAATGATAGTTTAACTAAAATGTATTTATTTTAATAAAAATCGAAATATTTAATAAAAAACACAAAATAAGTTCAAAAAGTTAACGTAAATTTAAGGTTAAACCCATAATTTAGTCCCTCAACTATTGTACAGACCCTAATTTAGTTTTTGAACTAAAAAAAATCCTTAATTTGATTCTTCAACTATTATACGGACCTCCGATTTGGTCCTTATTGTTTACTGATTTAACTCAAGTTAGTCATTCTATATAAAAAACAGTTGATGTGTCCGTTATCTAATAATAAGAAACAGTTACTTAATGACTACATGTCATGTTAATAACAGAATATCAATTGTTTTTTATACAGAATGACCAATTTGGGAATAACAGAACGTCAATTGTTTTTTATACATAATGATCAATTTGGGACAAATTGGTAATCAATAGGGACCAAATCAAGGTACATATAATAGTTCAAGGATCAAATCAAAGATTTTTTTTAGCTGATTAAATACCCTATTTAATCCCTCTACTATAGGAAAAAGCCTCTTTTTGATCCCTATACCAAAAAAAATCCCCTTTTTAGTCCCTAAATTTTAAAATCCGGTCCCTTTTTGGTCTTTCCGTTAACTTTTGCTAATGTGGCACGTTATCTTAACAACAATATCCGACATGGACATTCCACCTATAAAGACGCTGATGTGGACTTTAATGACTCATTTAATGACTCTCCTACAAACCCTAATAAATGTTTGCAATTCCCTCTCCAGCTATCATCTTCCTTCTTTCAAAATTCTTATTTTTCATTTATAATCAATCTTTTATATATGAGATTGATCAAGATATAATCCACAATTCATAAAAATATTTTCATTGTTAAAAATAAAAATTAATTACTAATTAAAATAATTTATTAATCCTTTAAACATTAATTTCTTCTCTGCAAAACAAATCCTTCACTTTGCAAAACAGCTCCTTCACTTTACTCATAGCAACATGAACACAACAACATCAACCTATTACCTGTAATTTCAAATTTAGATATCAAACCCAAATATCAAACACATTTGAACATGAAATTTTGGTTCCATTCGGCTCCTTTATGGAAGATATATACATTCAAAATTAAAAAAAAAAAAAAAGAAACAAAAAAGAGGGTCAGAGGAACCCACAAATGGATTCTTTGGGGAACCCAGCAACTGGGTTCCTCACGGAACCCAGTATGATGAAGACTTGAAGTTGAAGAGGATTGTGGATACTGGGATGAGAATGAGGAGAAGGATAAGACTGAGGAGAAAGAAGAAGATGAAGAAATTAAAATTAATTTCATTTAAATTCTTTTTATTCATGGATTAAGAAGTTTAGGAGAAAAAATATTTAATTCTGTTAATTAAAATATTTAGTGTTTTTTTGTCACGTAGTATTAAAATATTTAAATAAAATGTACACGTAATTTTTATATTATTTATATAAAAAATAATCAATTAATTTCGTCAATTAACGTGACACATCAATAAAAATTGAACAGAAAGATCAAAAAGATGTTGTATTTTAAAATTTAGAGACTAAAAAAAGAATCAAAAAAGGATTTTTTTTTATAATAGAGTGACAAAAAAAAGTATTTAACTTTTTTAGTTCAGAGACTAAATTAAAGGTTTATATAATAGTTTAAGTAACAAATTAAAGATTTAACCTAAATTTAACCTTTATACTTTTGCGTCGTACTGGAACAATAGCATTACAGCGAAAAGCACTACATCTCTTTTTTTTTTTTTTTTGGAAAAAAAGCAATGGAAAAGCACGGCATCTCATTCAAACGTTCCCGTGAGTGCCAGTCACGCATGATAATCAGGGGGGGGGTGTTAGGGAACCATACTTACATAATGGATCTTGGCGTGACAGACTCGCATGTTTTTGTCTGCCTTGTGCGTTACGACCCCGGCAACAGCTTGTCACCAACTTAGTACAAAGATGCAAAGGTCAATTACTTAATTATTGCTTCCCCTTTCCCCTCCTAGGATTTTTTCGTGTTCTTCGGTTGTCCCTTTAATTGGGTTTTAGGAGAATGTTCTTAAAAAAAATT